AAGGGTTTGGTGAAATGTATATTTTTAAAATTTATATTGTTTAATACTAATAGAATAAAATCAAATGAATTTTATATTAATTATATTGAAATATTCGATAGCAGTAGACAACCTTCTTAAGTTAATAATATTTTATTATCAGCCTTATGGCCACAGAAGTTATATAGGCTTTGTTGCGAAAAATAAAATGGAAAATAATATGTTATACAACAAGGGTTGTATAATTGCACAATATTTGAAGGTAAAACGATAAACTAAATTAGATGCTGAAATTCGAGCTCATGGCCTGAGAGTGGAAAAGTCCTTCGCGAGTGTGCAAGGAAAGCAGAAGGACAAATTCGCCATAGGTCAAGTTTTTGATAATTCTAAGATTCATTAAGAAAAAACTGTATATTTTCCGTCTATATGAAGGGACTGCATATTTCCTTGAACCGTAAACTAAATAATGTTCGTAGGTATTAGGTTTTTTGAGCAAGGGTCGGGTTAAAGTAAAAGAGAACAGTGAAAATATATGAATAACGATTTCTCGACTTTGGAGACCATATCAAAAATTTCATTACCAACATTTTTGTAGAATAATTGGAGGTCAAATAATTTCTATGGTATTATCCACAAGATATCGTCTTACCCTTTAGTTTCGGATCTCGGTCACTGAACCTTATCAGTTCCCTTGGTTTTGTTGTTGGGGATATTCGCGTAGCTAATTGAGTCTACAATGAAGTCTTTTAAGTTTTGTTTAATTCGGTTCAAATTTAGATGCACCTATTTTAAATTTTCGTCCGATGTCATGCAATACCTAAAGTTTGTTCGATTCTGATAAAATTTTCGACAGCACACTTTGCTGCATCATACCATATTCCTAGTTGTCATTAAATCGGTCCAGATTTATATACATCTAAATTTGAACAGATTTTCACGAATCTTAACCAATTTTCGTGCCAATCGAAAGTTATATACGGACTTTGGTGCACCATTTACATACATATGGGAGCTATATCGAAACCTGAACCGATTTTCCAGAAACTTACCACTCATGTTTCTAAACTCAATTCAGCACCCTATGCCACATTTCGTGCAATACGAAAGATATGTAGGGACTTTGGCGCACCGTTTACATTAAAATATATATAGGAGCTATATCTAAATCTGACCCAATTTTCTCGAAACATAGCACCAGGGATGGTCCGTATGACGAATTTTTAGGTTTTCGACTGTCAAAAAGGTGTAAACGTCATATACCTGTATAAAATGTAGTAAATGTAGAAAACGTAATTTATTCGAATATTATTGCCATATACCGTTATTTTCATAAATACATATTATTTTTACATATATCTGTCAGTTCCTTACTATAACTAATAAAAAAATTCTAAACTTTTTGGAGAAATTTTTTTTTTGAAATTCTATATGGATTTCAGTAAAGCATACGTTATTTCCAAATTCATTAATGGAAATAGGTATATTGTCAAAAACCTAATGGTTTTGGGTGGGTCTCGAAACTTAGTACACGTCATTCTAGACTTAATTCAATACACTATGCAACATTTCGCGCAAATCGAAAAAATATATAGGGACTTTGGTGCACCATTTACATAAAATCGGACTAAACTATAAATGGGAGCTATATCTAAATCTAAACCGATTTTCTCGAAACTTAGCACACATCATTCTGGACCTAATACAGTAATTTATGCCAAATCGGACGAAACTATATATGGGAGCTATACTTAAATCTGAACCGATTTTCTTCAATTTCGTCCTTGGGCCAAATAAGTGACTTGTGCCAAATTTCATCCAAATCGGATCATAAATGCGACCTGTGCTTCGTTTACAATTTAACATCTACATGCATGAATCGACTCAGAAAGTGATTATATGCATATTCTCAATAGGAACCATGTATCTATCTCGTTTCCTTTTTCCTGTTACAAACATATGCACAAAGACATAATACCCTGTACCACAGTTTGGTGAAGGGTATTATATCTTTTCTTTATATGTTCCGTCTATATGGAGTCCATGTGCCTCTTTTTAGTCCGTATTTGCTTAAACCATAAACTAAATAATGTTCTTAGATTTTAGGTTTTCTGATCAATGATGGGATAAAAGTGCCTCCTTACAAAGTTTCCATCCCGTTTTAGGTATCTGGATGGTCCTAGGTGAATTTGCACTGCATTCACGTGGTATTTAGGGATTTCCTCTTGTACCGTTACACACTCCGACTTCTGCTGCCGGAGTTAATTTATAACCTTGTCCATGTCCCTCATAATGTGCAAATAGCGGTGACCATCGACTATAATGTTCTGTGGGAGCTTCATTTCAGTCGTCCTTGCGGCTGTGGATTTCACGTCAAATATCTTCATATTCCTCAGATGGAAGAACTGTATCAAATCAGATATCAGACATTTCACATATGTCATTTATATTTATGACGTCCAGTGGTTGTGAAATTTCAAAAAGGTAAAGGTTAAACAGTTTAGGATACATGACCCTGATATGTGTGGTAAGGGCGTGTAATGCTGTTGTTGTGCTGTGCATTTTCCGGAATTGATGCGGATGTTGACTAACTGGAAACCTACTTCTCATCAGACGGAGGAGTGAGGACAGAAGTCCAACCCCCCTTGCTTCAGATGCGGGACCACCCTGCTAAATTTTCAGGCTTCATGAACAATGTAGTTATAGCTTTTAAATATTCTACTTTCGTCAGACGTTTTATAATCCTTCCTTGCAGGATTGCAGATTGTCATTATCCTTGCCCACAATTTACTCGATACGGCTCCAATGTTGCAATCTGAAGGAAGAGGGGATTGGTCTTACTTCCTATTAGGCGATCTGTGGCAATCTCTTGCAATTCTCATGGGGGAACCTCAATCAAAATTCAAAACGCAGTGCTACCGAATTCCTTGGCCACTGTGCTCCACTGGTATTTATATAGGACGGAATGCAAGAATGGCATTGAAAGCGCCTTCCAAATAGTTTTAAAACCAGTGAGCGGAGCAGTATAGTCGGACGAGGCCGACCATATGATACCCTACACAACTACCACGAAAAGCAAACTTTCGGAGGTTCTATATTCTGAGCTCCATCTCATCCAACCCTAGCATATTTTCCAAAATTGCTTTTTCTTTAATTTTTACGCCATAAAATAAAAAATTGGTCACCTTAGGTTTTGGTTGATTTGACCCTCGGAAAATTGACCGATCATGATCTAAACAGCCGCTCTAAGTCAGCCTAAGTCAGATCCCCTTCACCATGTAAAATATGTGATGTTCTGCAAATAATAATTGCCTCTAGAGCGACTAGAAAATCTGACAAAATTAAAGTTTTCGGTTCATTGCACCCCCTGAATGAAATCTCAACTTTACCGAAAACTATAGGCGTCGTCCTTGACCATAATCGGAAATTCATGTATAATTTCAAAGCGATCAGCGCGACATTTCCGTCCTCTAATGGAGTAATAGTAATACTATGCACATAGTCATATTTACCTTAATATGTATAGCTCCCATATCTGATCACATAGAAATATAATTGGTATCAATTTGAAGCTTAACAACTCCTCTTGGATATACTATCAACTTCTCGGGTATATGTCCTTCAGGAGTAAGTATATACGCCCCAAAATAAAAATTTTGTAATTTTTCACACAAAAGTCAGGGTCCATTTGGCCCGCTAAATATTGACCGATTTTTATCAAAACAGGCATGCTTATTCTTAGGCCCGATCCCCTTCTCCACGTAAAATTTCACGATGTTCGGACCATAACTGCGGCCTCTGGAGCGACCAGAAAAACCGACAAAAATTTATTGTTTGGTCCATTTCATCCCCTAAATATTAACCGATCTTTACCAAAAACAATAGGGGTCTTCATTGGGCAGAACCCATCCTACATGCAAAATTTCGTGAATATTGATCTATAACTGTGGCCTGTATCGTGTTTACAAATTATAATGGACAGACGGACGGACACACATGTCTAGAACGACTCAGCTAGTTGAGATATGACGATCGGTATACTTAAAGCTGGGTCTAGGACCAATATTTCGCGGCGTTACAAACTTTTGGGGTTGCACAAAGCTATAATACCCTGACAACATAGTTGTGTAGGGTATAAACACTGCTAACAGAATAAAACGGCTATATCTTCAAGAGTTATTGAGATATGAATGTCGATGAAATGTTTTAGTAACATTCATGAATTCGTAAAGGTTCGAATTAAATTAAATAACAAATTTCAAGTTTTTTTAAACCGTGAATGGGGTGGTATCCATAAAGCTCCTTTCTATACAGACAATCCCGATTTAAAACAGTAATTATGTTGCCGGTTGTGCAGTGTGCTTGCTATATACAACTAAATAATTTTATTTAAAATAAATTAATAGTAACATTGAAACCTCAACTTAGTTTAATTTTATCAATAAAAAAATTAATTGTTCTATCATTCATTTAGGGTAGAAAATAATGCTGAAAATAAAAAAGACTGTTTGTTAAATAATCCATAATCTATGAAATGAAAAATATAATCATCATAATTACCACGGGATCCGTTGTCTTGAAGCACATATGCCAAGACCAAGATCGTTCACACTGATTAGCACCCTGGGGGACATGCGATTCACAGACATTGAGAATATTGACGACAAAGTCTTCCATTTCTGCAGGCAAATGACTTTTCAATTTGTTATAGTCCATCTCGTCATTATCATCGACAACATGCATTTCTTGAAATATACAATGCATGTAACACTTTAATTCATCATTTTCGACAATTTCACCGTCGCTGAATTCCTTGATGGCATCTGATAAAAAAACAACAACAAAAATACAATACATGTAAGTATATTTCACCAAGAGATGGAATGCCAAATCTAAGCTAATTCAGAAAGAAATGTAGGTAAAACTACGAAAAAAAAACTACATCAAAACATTGATCTTTGCTGACAATTTGCAATAAAGACCATGAAACTGCATACCTATATGGAAGCAGGAGGCCATATATTAAACTTATAATTACCTTCAGAGACTCCAGTTTTTCCAACGCAAACATCATGCATAGTTATAAATCGTTTCAGAAAATCTGGTGGAGGATACTGAAATCAAAAGAAGAAGAATATTTAAATACAAACAAAAGAGAGTAAATAACATGTGAAAAAAGCTTTAAGTTCGGCTGGGCCGAACCTTTGATATCCTCCGCCATAGTATACTGAAAGGTACTTCAAATGGAAATATAGGGGACATACCAAAAAGTGGACCTATACTGACAATTCTATAAACCGATTTATGTAAACCATAATTTACACAAATACAAATTTCTGCAATTTTTAATGGTGATTTTTCCTAAAATCTGAAAACCCCAAAACGTGGACCAATATTGATAACGCATTGAAGAGTGGAACATATTATAAAATCCTCAAGCTACTGCAATTTAGAATCGAAAGTTATATGAGGCTATGCCTAAAGGAAGACCAATATTGATTGGAGACCAATATTGATTGCAATAGCTAGGAATTATCGAATATTTGGGGTTATAATAATATGAGGGGCTATGCCTAATTAATGACCGATATAGCTGAAATTTGAACCCAATATTTAGTTACCTTCACGAGGCATTATTATATGGGGAAGATACCTAAATGCTGGCCGATATATTCCATCATAGTCAGGTTGGAGTTTTTTTTATCACCATATAATTAAAAGGCGGAATGATTACAACAGATGGCTAAATCAACATAGAATTCCAAACTATGTAGAATAAAAACTGGCAATTTCGAGTAACGAATATCCCCCATACTATGGTCATATACGCCTATATGGTGACAACCCCAACACGCGGAACAAATCAGATAACTATTTTAATATAAACCAGTAAGGAAAGTTGTAAAGTCGGACTGGGCCGACTATATGATACCCTACACCATTTTGGATATATTCAACATATGAATCCTTACAGAAGTAACATTTTTTGAAGGACCATTAAAATGAAATTGGGTCCATAAACATGTCATTCTGCAACCGATACAAATTTTTTCATTTAGTCAGATATAGAGTTGCTTCTTACAATGGGACAAAATTACGTAAATCAATTTAAAAATTAATCGGACATCCGTTGATTATTTGGATAAATATCTGAAAAACATGAGAAGTTTGGTGCACCATATATATAAAAGCTATATCGAAATCTAAACCGATTTCATCGAAACTTGTCATAGGTTAGGTTATACTAATTTCAGTATGTCTTGTGCATATCGGCCAGATTTTGAGTTCTTGGTGCACCATTTACTTAAAATCGGACGAAACTATATATGGAAGCTGTATCTAAATCTGAACCTATTCCTACAAAACTTGGCAAACGTTAGGCAATACTAGTTTCAGTACGTTGTGTAAAATTTTATAGCATATGGCCAAACTTTGGATCTTTGGTATACCGTTTATTTAAATCGGATGAAACTATGTGTGGCGATCGGACAAACTTTGGGTCTTAGTGCACAATTTACATAAAATCGGAAGAAAATGTATATGGGAGCTACATTTAAGAAATTTAACACACATCATTCTAGACCTAATTCAATACACTATGCCAAATTCGAAAGATATATAGCGACTTTGGTTCACGATTTACCTTAAATCGGGCGAAAATATATATGGGAGCTATATCTAAATCTTAACGGATTTTTACGAAACTTAACACTCATCATTCTAGGCTTTATTCAGTACGCTATGCCAGATTTCGTACAAATTTGGTGCACCATTTACATTAAATCGGACGAAAATATATATATAGCAGCTATATCTAAATTTGAACCGATTTCAACAAAACTTGCACACGTTACGCAACACTAGCTACAGCTACAAAATTGTTCAGATCAATTACATGCATTTCGATGGGAAAATGTGTCTGAAACGTTCATAATATCAAAAGTGGTGCGAGACGTTTATATGTGGGATGTGTCCATCTAAATATATGCCTCCCTCCAGTAACCCGGAATTCTAAATTACTGTTTGCAAAATTTTGGTAAAAACTTATAAATAGGTTTAACAGCGTTCATAAAATATCGATTTACAATTTTTCCAACCCGCAACCAATACTTGGGCTAGCTTTTCAGTTTGTAGATGAGTAAAAATGTTTTCGCAGTGTCATTGTTGTCAGGGTGCATGAAGAATTCGGTGATCGTTTTCTTTCCTTAACCAATTTGTTTGCATTCCAACAATCATTTCAAACAAAACCAAAACATGGATTATATTGAACGGATGACATATTATAAACCAGTGAGCGGAGCAGTATAGTCGGACGGGACCGACCATACGATACCCTACACAACTTCCATGAAAATCTAACATTCTGTGGTTCTATATTCTGAGATTGGGCAATATTTCGCGATATTTGCACACTTTTGACTGGCTAGAGGTCAGCAAATGTTACTAATAATCAGTACAGCCCCTCTAATTACTTGTTCAGATTCCCTACATCGTGGGTTGTGTTGTGATGTTCGGCTTTCGACTCGAAAAGTACAAATAATTAAGTTTTCGGTCCACTTCATCCGAAAAAATATTATCTGATCATCACCTAAGATTTTAGGCGATGTCCTTGACCATAACTGGAACCTCATGGAACATTTCAAAGCGATCAGCGCTATATTTTCGCTCTCAAGTGTGGTAATAGGTTACTAAATAATATATGAATACGTAAGCACCTGTAAATATTTAAGTGTAACTCCCGCATCCGAGTACCTACGACAATATAATTGGTATCGATTTAAAGGTCAACCACTCCTCTTAGATATACTGTCAACTTATCGGGTCTATGTCCTTCAGTGGTAAATATATACTCTATAGAATACAAATTTTGCAATTTTTCACACAAAAGTTAGGGTCCATTTGACCCTCTAAATATTGACCGATTTTTATCAAAACAGGCATGCTTATTCTTTGGCCCGATCCCTTCTTCGCGGTGTTTGGGCCATAATTGCGTCCTCTGGAGCGAATAGAAAACCCGACAAAAAGGCGTCTTCATTGGCCAGAACCCATTCTACATGCAAAATTTCGTGCAGATTGGTTCATAACTGTGGCCTGTATCGTGTTTACAAATTATAATGGACAGACGGACGGACACACATGTCATGTTAGTCGAGATATGACGATCGGTATACTTAAAGGTGGGTCTAGGACCAATATTTCGCGGCGTTACAAACTTTTGGGCCTGCACAAAGCTATAATGCCCTGACAACATAGTTGTGTTATTTTCGAGTCAATCGAGTCACAAATGAAAACAGAACATCACAACACTACCCTCGTAATATTCGGAAAATATGTCAGTGTGAGGAAGAGGTGCTGTTTACCTCTAATCGGGCAAGAGGGTGCAAATATCACGAAATATTGCCCAGGTTCGGAATAAACATCCGCAGAAAATTTGAGTTCCGTGGTAGTTGTGTAGGGTATCATATGGTCGGTCCCGTCCGACTATACTGCTCCGCTCACTGGTTTTTTCCATTATTTCTTCTATTTAGTGTTTCCTCCTTACAATTTAGTGTCATTATCACCCTGTGTACGGTAATTAAATGGTTAACTTACGTTTTCATCGCGACGTGGACTTTGAGCCAATACTAAAAGCGGCATCAATATCAAAAATATTGGAAATCGTTTCTCCATTTTGTTCGTCAGTTGGAGATTAATAAACAATATAGCGAAGTGAAGAAAACTACGCTCTTGAACATAAGGTAGTTGTTGTCGGTGCTATTTTGTTCTATTCTTTATTTTTCGACCGCAAAACTGCGTTCCCGCAAGGAGGACGAATTAACGAATACCTCTTGATTTCCACTTGTAATAGCTTAATTTAAAATTCCAAAGATTATTTTATAGTTCCAGTTCAGATTGCCGCTTCGGCGCTGCGACCGCCTATAGGTTTGCAGTATTTCCGCAACATTGTAAAGCAGCAGTAATAAATGATGATTACAACTCAACAATGTAACAAATTATCTCTTCGTAGTATTCCATGATTTTACGTTTGATTGTTAATTTATTTGTTGGTCTTTGGAAATGGGCGTAAAAATTTATTGTTACACTCTCAAAAAGTTACCCATACTCATAAAATTACACCAACAATTGATTTGCAATATGATTTCTGGGGCGTTACCTTTAAATTACATTTTCCATTCATTATTACCTGCATTCATTCATCAACAAGTACATAAATTCAGATTTGACTACTGATATAATTGAATAAAACTTTTATCAGAGTTGGATTTTTATTTATTACTACTGTTCTGTTCAATTTCATTATAAATATGTATATTCAATGCGGCCTATGATAAATAAGTTACAAAATTATTTCGGAAAGATGATTGTTAACGAATGCAAATCGTTACGTTCGTTCAACATGAGCTTTGTATATTTTTTTAAAGTTAAGTTTTAAAAATTTTCAAGTGGTAAATATACACCACCCATAAAAATGGCCCCACATTCGGCATTTTAAATGGTATTAGCAGTATTCTACCAATTTGGCTGTATATATATATATATATATATGGGCAATATTGCCAATTTTTTAATATTCCATTTTCAAAAAATCCGCTTATTTGTTTTTGTGGCACATCAATGATTTGTGGTACACATATAGAGAAAAATATTCTGACTCCGAAACCGTTCGCGATCAAATTTTTGGTTGATGCGCACAAAAGTTATCGAGGTTTTAATTTTGGGCATAAGAAAAAAACTTAAAATTACGCCGTTTATTATATTGACCAAAAACGTTGATATATATATTCCTCCGTAAAATAAGAATATGAATATATTGCACATATTCGCGAAATATGAAAAAAATAAAAAAATATAGCAGATTACATCAATATTTTCATTACATTAATGACATACACACACCTAAAAATTAATTTAAAAATATCTACATAATCTAAACACCATGGTAAATCAAATCACACAAGTTCGTGTAGCGGTTTCTAAATCAAAGCGACAACAAAACAAGATATTGAGGAAAAATATTCGTCTTTGGTTCGAAAAAATAATGTCATCATATTTATTTTTTTAATTGTATACAAGAAATTTCAGAAACAAATGTTGGGGTTATTCTGCTATTTTACCCGAATTTCGCCGAAAAATTGACATATATAATAATAATCACTTTCTGTGTATAAGTATACGCCTTGCGGATTATATCAAGACCCTTCCGATAAATCTTAGAATTCTATAAATAGGAATAAATCTTAAAATAAAATAATATTATGAAATATACATTTTACATTGCGTGTAAATCGCGTAATTCTCAAAATCATTTGATGCGCATGCGGTTTCCAGGAAGTACTGAAGTTTATTTTCCAATCCATATATATTTTGCGAAATTTCATTTGACGGCTAAGATGTGCCGCACGGTTCATTGAAGTACCCAAAAAATCGTAAAACGCGAATAATTTCCGAAAACTCCATATGCCATTAACGCGCATTCGATTTCGGTGTGCACCCTAAAAAAATACATCGATCTATACCATTTCAATGTGGTCCATTAAGACCCATCTATTTTTGAGATAAATTGCGTACATCTCTCTTTCGGCTGAAGTTTTTAAAGTTCTCTTTTCGAAAATGATCAAAATCCGTATGAGGTCATTTATTGAAACGGAAATGATACACAGAAAACGCAAACAAATCTGCGATATTTTCAAAAACATTTTTTGCCAAATTTCGTGTTTTTGGAAGGGCAGTTCCCGCCGTTCTAGTAGATGGATTTTCACGAAGAAGGTTTTTTATCATCCGAAACGTAAAAAACCTTATTGATCGCGGGTACCCATATCATTCAGTTGACAGATCTAAAAATTTCGCCCGAAAAATAGGTTTTTTAGAAATTTGATCGCACAAAATTCGCACCTTAGGATGAGTATTACTCTGAAGCTGTGCATACTACATACACAAAATACATATCAAATTACGCAGATTCGCGACTACAATAATCATATAATCGATTTTTAAAAATTCCTGTTTGCGTATTAAAGCTAGAAGTAAAATTCAAAAAACACTCAAAATCGAGCTTCAAAATGTCAGCATCATTTAAAGGTAGATGCAGTTAAAATTTTGAAAAATGATACATAAAGGGCGTAGTCCCCATTTTGTTGGCTTCTAGTTTTATTTGGACACGAAGACCGTGCAATGAGTGGCTTAGTCACAAATCAATAGAGAACATAAAAAAACTGGTTCGCCTCAACCTGTTTTTACAAATTTTTTTTACATTAAAGTAGACACAGCTTCCACCAAAATAAAGTTTGGAGGTCAATATCATGAACAGTTTGCAACGACAGATCAATTAACCCAAAACTATTCACTTTTTTCCCGAGTTATAAAGGGGTGAACCTCCGCTTCAGCTATGTTAACAAAATGGCAATATTGCCCATATATATGTCTATGCAAAAAATGTTCGTCGAAGCCAAGTAGCTTCAATTTGGTATTCTGTGTTTTTTGATGCTGGGATGTAGGCCCCATATAAAAAGTCCGTCCAATTTTTGGTGGTTGGAAGGTTTTTTTTCACCAAAGTGGATGTAATTTGGAATTCAGATTCCCAATATATATATATATATATATATTGGGAATTTGGTGCACCATTTATATAAAATCGGGAGCTATATCTAAATCTGAACCGATTTTCACGAAACTTAGCACACATTACACTATACCTAATTCCGTAGTCTGTGCCAAATTTCGAGCAAATCGAAACATATATAGAGACTTTGGTACACCATTTACATTAAATCGGACGAAAATATATATGAGAGCTATATCTAAATCGGAACCGATTTTTCCCAATTTCAATAGGGTTCGTCCTTGGGCCAAATAATTGTCCTATGGCAATTTTCATCCAAATCGGTTCAGACGGACATGCATAAATCGATTTAGAAAGTGATTCTATGCATATTCTCAATGGAACCATGTGTCTATCTCGTTTCCTTTTGCCTGTTACAAACATATGCACAAAGACAAAATACTCTGTACCACAGTGTGGTGAAGGGTATAATTATCAATATAGGTCCAAGTTGCGCAAAAATCTCGTATAAAGGTTTATGGTGAAGAAAATACATATTCTTAAATACAAATAAAGATTCCTCTTACATTTTGGTATATTAGAGCTTCAAGCCTCACTTTACAAGCTTAGTGTCTGTAATTTCGTATTTAATTTTCTCAGAGCATAAATGACCCACTTTGCAATATCATTGTAAAAAACATCCCGACCATTAAATAAATTTGTAATATCCCCCTCATGGAGGAGGTTATAAAAAGTTCGGTCCGGGCGTTTTAACATCGTTTTTACCTGTTTTTTTTTTTTATTTCATCTATTGTAATATGACTAAGCAATGCCTTCGGGGAAGGGTATTCATGTTATCACTATGCAAATAAATAGATTGAGTCATTTATTTAATTGTATTTATTTACAAATATGACTTTGTATACATTTGTAATAAATGCATCAAATTAATGACTTAATTCGTGTTCATATATGCTTCACATGTGAAAACGAATCGTGGAACTGAAATTTAAAATGCGATAAACATGTGTTGTTGTATATTAATACAATGTTTCTAAACTATTATACACATTGTTTTAGCTGTCATATATTGTATAGCTCCCTATATATTTTCGTCCGATTTAAATGGTGCATCAAGAACCCAAAAATATGGATGTTATGCACAAAACGTATTGAAGTTAGTATAACCTTTATCGTTGATATCGGTTCGGATTTGGATATATTTTGATATAAACTTTCTCCCGATTTCATATAAATGGTGCGCAGTTACAACCCCTATATATAGAGCGACTTCATGTTAATTGGGCTCCAAATAATCAATGGGTGTCCGATTGAGATTTGCTTTAAATCGATTTATATAATTTTGTGCCATTGCAAACAACAGACTCTATATCTGTTCATATGAAAAATTTGGCATAGGTTGCAGAATGATGTGTCTATGATTAATTTAAGTTGGTTCACTATTAGATGAAGATCATATATTATTTTAGTTTATTCAATTTCATTTTAATGGTCCTTCAAAAATTCGACATCTATAAGGATACATCCGTTGATAATACTCAAAGTGGTGAAGGGTATCATATGGTCGGCTCCGTCCGACTTTACTACTTTCCTTACTGTTTTTTTAGTTACAGGTTATTTATTTAGTTTGCAATTGTAGTTAGTTTAGTTTTAGCCACCAGTGTATATGGGAAGCCACACGTTAGGTTATATTAATTTCAGTACGTTTTTTGTCTATCGACCATATTTTGGAGTAGTTTTTTCTTAAAATCAGACAAAAATATATATGGGAGCTATTTTTAAATCTGAACCGATTTTAAATAAACTTGAAACACAATAAAAGTGGACGAAATTGTATATAGGAGCTATTGTTAAATCTGTACCGATTGTAACAGAACAAAATAGTGTGCCAATCGGCTTAACTTTGGGTCTTTGGAGCACCATTTACTTCAAATCCGACGAAAATATATGTAGGCAATCTGCACAAATTTTCCCAATTTCAATAGGGTTCGTCCTTGGGCCAAATAAATGAGCTGTGCCAAATTTCATCAAATTCGGATCAGAAATACGACCTGTACTTAGTTTGAAATTTAACATGAACAGACGTTCGTTTCATTAAAGATTTACAAATGTTAAAAATGTTTACTATTGTGGCAGAGGTATTAGAAGGAGTGAACCGATAAGTACCATCATCAAACTTGTATATTGTTTGCAGATAATATTACAAAATGCATTTTCAGAACCATTTTTTACTATTCTGTAGGGTAGGTACTGATTTCCCCATCCTCGAACTTAATTTGAATTTTAAAGAAATTTAGAATATGCACCGTTTGGATCAAATCGGATCCAGCCTAATATTATATTTATAAATATTGAAAATGTTGACACTTTTTTTTTGGGGGGGGGGGGGGGGGGGGGGGGTGTTCCAATCTTTTGACTTGATTCGGTGCTAGAGCAATAAAACCCTTTATCGTCCGAAGTTTTAAAAAAGTATAGAACAAAAATGTTCTTCGATTTTACCACCAGATCTAGTTGACTTTTAAGCAGCTTTAAAATGATTTTCCTATACCCTCACTTTTAAGGGTGATTTTTGAGGAGCTACAGAAAAGGTTTTCCAATAAACACCTAAAGTTCAGAAAATACATGAAATCGTTTTGTAAATATTACGATCCATATTATTCCGGAAAACTCAATCACCGTGTCTATACTACTTGTGAAATTTACCCATCACTCAAAAAAATACCTAAGCCCACCTACACAAATATAAAATGAAACGATTATTTTGCATTTTATGCAATTTGCTTTTGCTATTATACAAATACATACATATATTATATAAAATATAGGAATATTCGTTGAAACCTCAACCACAACATGTTGTTTTATTAAAAATAAATAATAATACACAGTTTAATAGAATAAATAAAATATTACATTGGTCGTTCATCCGTTTAGGGCAGGAAATAGTGCTAAAAATAAAAAGGGGAAAGCAACAAAAACAAAATTTTTAATAATCCATAATCTAAAAAATGCGAAGAAAATATATATATTTCATGATAATTACCACGGGATCCGTTTGTTTAAAGCAAACATGCCAAGACCATGCTCGTTCACACTGATTACTGCCCTGGGGGACATGCGATTCACAGGCATCGATAATATGCTGAACGAACTGTGTCAGTTCATCGGGCAGGACACGCTTCAATTTCTCATAGTGCAGCTCGCCATCATCATCGACAATATTTACTTCGTGGAATAAACAATTCATGTAGCATTTTAAAGCCGGATCTTCGTGTATTTCCCCATCGCTGAATTCCTTGATGGCAGCTGCCGAAAAAACGCACACACACAAAATAAAAAAATACAATAATAAATTTTATGTGAGTTAATTTCTTTGTCAATTAAAGCTTAAACAGCAAAGGCAGAAAACGACGAACATTAACAATGAAAACTACTGTGGGCATTAAGGGCAAAAATCCCCCCCTCATGTACTCTTCCTTAGGGACCAAATAAATGGCTCCTACGCATATCAAACAATAAATCAAACATTACTGAACAATTCAATGAAAATGGATATAAAAATAGAATAATAAGACGTCAGTTCTTAAAGTAGGAAATCCGACATGGGAACCTTAACTTTCACTTAATGAATTAATTAATATTAAATATTTCTAATACTTTGCAAAATATGAAAGATGTGGTGTAGTGCAAGGGAAAATGGCCCTCATTGCAAATAGTTGGGTCGAATTCCACCAGTATGCGTTCGATATTACATGTACATCTGGCCGTAAAACTATTTTCATCTTGTTTTTGCAATCCTTCAATCGTGCCATCAAAATTCCTTTATATGCGGACTATGTTTTTGTAAATTATCAGATAGTAGGCTGTATAGGCTCTCAGAACTTTAAATACCAGACACCTAGGTTGGACAGACCATTACGATAGGTACTTCAACACGTATAAAACCAGTAAAGGTCGGACAGAACCGACCATACGGTACTATACACAACTACATCTGCACTTTAACTTCCTGCGGAAGTAAATTTTAAGCCTGTTTAAAATTCCGCAATGATAATTATGACGTAAAACCATACAAGGATATGTATACCCCATTAACAAATTATTAATAGATTCATATACTGCAAATTTTTCCGGGTCATGCCTTCCAGTCGTGATCATAACATCGCAATATACATATTTCCACACAAATCTTTGAATTCAAAAGAGCTGTACTTGTTCATTAGCCAGATCCCCTTTTATGTACATATTCGTGATGATCGGCTCATTATTGTGACCTCTAGAGCGACTGGAAAGGGTGGCGTAGGGGATGATTGATACCAATCAACGGCTCTGATTGACTTTCACATGGCGAAGCCCAGGCTTATCTTGGTCTCCTTTCATCTCAATTGTGGAGACTCCATATAACAGCATATAACCGCGGAGACAGCATATATCCGCTGCCCTGGCAATGACATTAAAATTCTGCTAGGAGATTTTAAGGCAATACTCGGAAGGGAAATTTTTTTTAGCACCACCGTTGACAATTTAGCCTCCATGAAGTAACATCCGACAACGACATGAGGTTGATTGACTTAGCGGCAGCAAAAAACATGGTAGTTAGCCGCACCAGATTCAAGCTTCTCGATATACACAAGGTCACCTGGATTTCTCCAGATCGAATAACGAGAAATAAAATTGATCATGTTGTGATGGACGGAAGGCATTCATCCAGTAAGGAAAGTAGTAAAGTCGGACGGGGCCGACTACATGATACCCTTCACCATTTTGGGTATATTCAACAGATAAATCCTAACAGACGTCGCATTTTTAACGGACCAGTGAAATGAAATTTGATCCATAAACATGTCATTCTGCAACCGATACTAAATTTTTCATTTGGTCAGATATAGAAGCTGTATCTAAATCTGAACTGATTTAAATTTCGCACAAACCGAAAGATATTGAGGGACTTTGGTACACCATTTACCTTAAATCGGACGAAAATATATATGGGAGTTATATATAAATCTAAACCGATTTTCACGAAACTTAACACACTAATACATTACGCTGTGCCAAATTTCGTGCAAATCGAAAGATATTAGGGTACTTTGATGCACCATTTACATTAAATCGGACGAAAATATATATGGGAGCTATATATAAATCTGAACCGATTTTCAGGAAACTTAACACACAACATCTTAGGTCTAGGATGTGCCAAATTTCGTGCAAATCGAAAGATATATAAGGACTTTGGTGCACCATTTACATTTAATAGGACGAAAAATATATGGGAGCTATATCTAAATCTAAACCGATTTTCACGAAACTTAACACACATCATTCTAGACCTAATACATTACGCTGTGCTTTGGACTTTGGGACTTTGGTTTACCTTTTATATTAAATCGTACGAATATATATATGGGAGCTATATCTAAATCTGAACCGATTTTCTCCAATTTCAATAGGGTTCGTCTTTGGACCAAATAAATGAGCTGTGCCAAATTTCATCCAAATCGGATTATAAATGCGACCTGTACTTTGTTTACAATTTAACATTAACATGCGGACGGACGGACATGTATAAATCGGCTCAGAAAGTGATTCTATGCATAATCTCAAAAGGAACCATGGGTCTATCTCGATTCCTTTTGCCTGTTACAAACATATTCACAAAGACATAATATCCTGTACCACAGTGTGATGAAGGGTATAAAAATAGAAGATTTTCACTTGATATTTTAAAGGGACATTCAGAAGAAGTTGTAGGTTCAAATTAAATAAAAATAGAAAATTCGATTTTTTGAAACCGAGCATAGCGGAGTGTCTCTTTGAGGGATGGGCTCCCATTATGTGGTATTTTGGGGAACGAATTGGTATTTATTTGGCCTTCTCTGGTGGACGTCTGTCGAAAATATACATGGTCTGTGTCTGCATTTCTACAAACCGCAATTACGCCACTCTATGCTCAATTTTGTACGTTGGTCGAAATTTCGCGTCATCTGACAAACATGAGAAGTTGTATGCACGAACCTTGAACCGTAAACTAAACTAAATATTCTATAAAAATGTCACCCATATGCCCAAGGCCCCCAAAATACAAAAAAGTCGATAAGTTTCGTTATATGAGAAACTAGGTATGGACTCATAGAGAAAAATTTGGATAGAATATTTTCCAGAAGGTTTTATGATATTTCTCCAGACTTTAGGTATGTAGTTCAGTTACAAATTTAAGAATCGAAATATACTGACATTATTTCCAAGTACTACTTCACAGTAAACAAATACAAAACCAGTGAGCGGAGCAGTATAGTCGAACTACCACGGAACTCTAACATTCTGCGGATTTTTATTCCGAGACTGGACAATATTTCATGATAGTTGCATCTTCTTGCCCAATAAGAGGTCAACAGCACCTCTTCCACAGCACTGACATATTTTCCGAATATTACTAATATTGAGTACAGCCCTTCTAATTACTTGTCCAGTTTCCTTTAACCGTGGGTTGTGCTGTGATGTTCGGCTTTCAATTGTGGCTTATATATCGACTCGAAAAACACAAGAATTAAAATTTCGGTCCATTTCATCCCAAAATTTTTATCTGATCATCACAGAAAATTATAGGCGTTGTCCTTGACTGTATCTGGATCCTCATGGAAAATGTCAAAGCGATCAGCGCTATATTTCCTTCATCTAGTGTGGTAATGGGTTATTGAATAATATCTGAATACGTAAGCACCTGTAAATATTTAAGTGTAACTCCCACATCCAAGTACATACGCCAATATAATTGGTATCAATTTAAAGGTCAACCACTTCTTTTGGATATACTATCGGCTTCTAGGGTCTATGTCCTTCAGGAGTAAATATATACGCCATTGAATACAATTTTTGCGATTTTTCACACAAAAGTCAGGGTCCATTTGACCCGCTAAATATTGATCTATCTTTATCAAAACAGGTATGCTTATTCTTTAGCCCGACCCCCTTCTCCATGTGAAAATTCGCGATGTTCGGGCCATAATTGCGGGTTCTGGAGCGATAAGAAAATCAGACAAAAATAAAGTTTTTGGCCCATTTCATCCCCTTAATATTAACGAATCTTTACCAAAAACAATAGGGGTCTTCATTGGTCAGAACCCATTCTATATGCAAAATTTCGTGAAGATTGGTCCATAAATGTGGCCTATATCGTGTTTACAAATTATAATGGACAGGCGGACGGACAGACAGACGGACACACATGTCTAGATCGACTCAGCTAGTCGAGATATGACGATCGGTATACTTAAAGGTGGGTCTAGGACCAATATATCGCGGCGTTACAAACTCTTGGGGCTGCACAAAGCTATAATACCCTGACAACATAGTTGTGTAGGGTATAAAAAGAGCTTTAAAAGAAATCAAATAAAAAATTAACAATGTTGCATAAGACAGATGGATCTACACATATACATACCTTCAGTGGCTCCTGTTTTTTCAACGCAAACATCATGGATAATGATAAATCTTTTCAGAAATTCTGGTGGAGGATACTGAAACCACAAGAAGAAGAAACGAAGAAAATGAAATAAAAAAAAAAAAATACAAAAATTTAAGTACAAACGAAAAGAGAGTGAATAACAACGACAGATATCATTGGAAATGGACACTTAATGAATACAATAAGGAGAAGAAACCAATAAATAGACACAAGCACAAACACACATCGAAACTCACACTGCTGCTCTGATATAAATTATTGACATTGTGTTTCACCAGACACCTCTAGTACCGCGTTGAAGGACAACGGGGGGATAATTTAAAAACAAAATTAAGACAAATATCCCCAGTTTTTTTTCGCACATTATTCGCAGTCAAGTGTTCGTGAATGAATATCTGCAGCAATGTGTCAAAGTTAATTAAGATTGGAATCAGCAGGGACGCCAGGCTTATGGTGTTCATTTCTTTTATTTGTCTGTTCTTGTCTTGATTTTTCATTTCTTTAATCAGAGTAGAAATGCCATTGATGAAACTGACACATCGAATGTGTTATATAAACACAGGGAAACAGACAGACGCAGAGACATGTCCGTCGCTTAAGCTGTTGTAATCCCCAAAAGTGAATCCAATTTAAACAATGCAATGATATTTTATTTTTCATTTTAATCAAGGAAATTGATGTTTACCAATAATGAATTAAATTTATTGTAAACTATATTGAACAATCACTATAAATATAATAGCTGTAGGGATTGAAGCAATTCAAGAAGTGGTTATTTTGACAATTTTACCATTTCATAGCACAGAAACGATTTGTATACCCTCCACCACACTGTGGTACAGGGTATTATGTCTTTGTGCATATGTTTGTAACAGGCAAATATAATCGAGATAGACCCATGGTTCCTTTTGAGAATATGCATAGAATCACTTTCTGAGTCGATTTATGCATGTCCGTCCGTCCATGCATGATATAGGTCTAGAATGATGTGTGCTAAGTTTCGTGAAAATCGGTTCAGATTTAGATATAGCTCCCATATATAGGCTCGGCCGATTTAAGGTAAATTGTGCACCAATGTCCCTATATACCTTTCGATTTGGACGAAATTTGGCATAGCGTATTAAATTAAGTCTAGAATGACGTGTGCTAAGTTTCGTGAAAATCGGCTCAGATTTAGATATAGCTCCCATATATAGGCTCGGCCGATTTAAGGTAAATTGTGCACCAATGTCCCTATATACCTTTCGATTTGCACGAAATTTGGCATAGCGTATTAAATTAAGTCTAGAATGACGTGTGCTAAGTTTCGTGAAAATCGGTTCAGATTTAGATATAGCTCCCATAAATAGTTTCGCCCGATTTTAGGTAAATGGTCTACCAAAGTCCCTATATATCTTTCGATTTGCGAAATTTGGTATAGCCTACTGAATTAGGTCTAGAATGACGTGTGCTAAGTTTCGTGAAAATCGGTTCGGATTTAGACATAGCTCCCATATATAGTCTCGGCCGATTTAAGGTAAATTGTGCACTAATGTCCCTATATATCTTTCGATTTGCACGAAATTTGGCATAGCGTATTGAATTAAATCTAGAATGATGTGTGCTAAGTTTGTGAAAATCTGTTCAGATTTAGATATAGCTTCCATATATAGTTTCGCCCGATTTTAGGTAAATGGTGCATCAAATTCTCTAAAAACCTGTCCCACTGTGCGCAAACGACTCTAATCATGCCCAAATGAAATGAAATTTGGCATAGGTTCCACATAGGCATATAAATCACATATTCAAGTTCGTTAATGAAAAGGCGACGTCTGTTACACAAAGTGATGAAGGGTATCATATAGTGGGCCAGTCCGACTTTACTATTTTCCTTACTGGATTAACTATAATGACAGTAACAAGCGCCGATTTTTACAGAAATAAAATAAAATTTGCATAAATTCATTTTAATATTCTTAAGGCTATGTGAAAGGCCTGCTTTGTTTTAATCAATCTATCCTTTGAAAGATTGAGGTAGCTGAAATTTTGAATCTTTTGTCTACAAGGCAGGCCAAGTTCAAATATGTAAAATATCTCTTCAAGCTTAAGGGTGACCTCCAAATAACAATATCTAGAAATTTGCGATATTTTGAGACTTCATTGGGTACCAACTCTCACTACTAAAATTATTAATATCGGTCAACTGTTAAAATAAATAGGACATTTTGGGGATACTATTACAAAGATGTGCAGACCAAAGACATATTTTATGAGCGCCTAGAAACAGCATATGAAAGCCGCCTGGCCATGACATTAAAATTCTGCTAGGAGATTTTAATGCAAAAATCGGAAGGAAAATTCAGCCTTCATGAAGAAACATCCGACAACGGCTGAAGAAACATCCGACAACATTAGATTCAAGCATCTCGATATACACAAGTGAGAAATCAAACTGATCATGTTGTGATAGACTGAAGGCATTCATCCAGTGGTATAATACACAGGATGAATGCCTTTCGTTCAATCGATCCGAGGAGCGAATATTGATTCGGGCCACTACCTTGTAGCAGCCAAGGTTCTCACTCGTCTTAATGTAGCAGCAAAGATGCGATCTAACACAGCACGGAAACTCGACGTCGAAAGCTGCAAACACAACAGATAGCCGAGGCCTACTCCGCTCAACTTTCACACCTGCTTGACGAAAGCACTTCTTGTCCCGATAAAAGTATAGAAGCACAATGGCAAATAATTGTCCACTCCCTACAAAGCAGCAAATGCAACATTGGGGTACCAACATTTGGGTAAGACCAGGAGTGTCGTAATGCTACAGAGGCGAAAACGGCAGTATATAGGGTAACCCTGCAGACAATAGCAACACGTTATGTGATGATGAATTATCGGGAGAAAAGGAGAGAGGAGAAACGTGTTTTCAGAAAAAAGAAGAAACAACAAGTAAAACGTGAGGAAATCGAGATGTACAGGAGTCAGAATGAAGTCCGGAAATTTTACCAACGAGTAAAAACCCAAACCGAAGTTTTTGGCGCAGGCACATCCTCCTGTAGAGATGAAGAAGGAATCCTGGAAGGAGCATTTTGAAAAGCTTCTGGTATCAAATAGTGGCGGTGAAGAAGATACCCTAGAACCAATAAGAGATGATGGTATAGAGTGTATACCACCTAGCCAAGACGAGGCCAGAATAGCAATTAATCGGCTCAAGCAAAAGCCGATGTGTTACCAGCCGAACTATTCGTGACTGGTGGTCAGATATGTGCTAATTATAGAGTTTTAAGTCTCCTTCCCATTGCATATAAAGTGCTATCCAGTGTGCTGTGTGAACGGCTTAAGACAATGACATTATTGGACCATACCAATGCGTCTTCAGACCTGGCAAATCCACCACCGACCAGATTTTCATTCTGCGCCAAATCCTGGAAAAGTCCCACAAAAACACAACGAAACATACCACCTATTTGTCGACTATAAAGCCGCATTCGACAGCCCTATCCGTTCAGAGGTGTTTAAAGCCATGTCTGCGTTCGGCATTCCTGCAAAATTAATACGGCTATGCAAGATAACTTTAAGTTGCACAAGGTCAGCAGTTGAAGACGGAAATGACCTATCGGAGCCCTTCAATACCGAACGAGGATTCAGACAAGGTGACAGTTTGTCGTATGATCTTTCTAACATCCTGCTGGAAAAGGTTATACGAGACGCAAAGGTGAACAGAAATGACACTCTGTACATCAAACAACACATGTTACTCGCCTACGCCGATGACATCGATATAATTGGTCGAACATTGCGAGCGGTAACAGTCACCTTTGAACAAATTGAGGAGTCTGCCAAAGTCGGTCTGGCAGTAAACCGCGAGAAGACCAAGGTGATGGTATCAACGCGCAAGTCGTCCAGTAGACTCGGATCAACTGTTGAATTTCAGAACTACAGCTTCGAGGTAGTCAACGATTTTATATAATTTGGTACCGCCATAAATAAAACGAATAACATCAGTTTTGAAATTCGGAGAAGGATTGTGATGGCCAACAGATGCTACTATGGTCGAAGTAAGCTGTTTAGAAACAAGGCCACCTCCCGCCAGACCAAACTCACACTTTACAAGACGGGAACTTGCGCAAGTAGATGAGGCAGCTCTTGTGTTGTTTGAAAGAAAAATTTTCCGAAAGATCTACGGGCCGATCAGCGTCGACGGTGAATGTCGGCGTCCAATGAACCACGAGCTCTACAATTTATACGTGGACATCGATGTAGTCAGTCGTATTGAGCTGCAGCGAATACGGTGTCTAGGCCATGTTGTGCGAATTAATGAGAATGCCCCAGCTCAAAAGGCATAGAAGGGGAAGGTCACGAATTAGATGGAAAGACCAAGTAGAAAACAACATCTTGGAACTAGGTCTTTCAAATTGGAGGAGATGCGCACAAGACCGACGCGCTTGGAAATCTTTTTTTAGCTCGGCTTATGGAACAAACATTCTGTAACAAGCCAGCTATGTACGTAATTCTTAAACGGCATATACATTAGAACTTTTTACCGGGTTAACCTACTTTATGAGGATTTATTTGACATATATTCAAAGGGATTGACAATTGAAACCCACTGGGTTAACGAAATCCGAATAAATGTAAACGTAATATTAATTTCATAATTCGAGCTCTATAGGTTAGCCGAAATCTTAATTTTACCAAATGTATTTTATTTAGTACATATTTATATAAATCCAATATAAATCATATTTCCCGATTCAGAATTCCAGCCCGATCGCGTCGCCCAATTATAATTGTACCAAATTTAGTACCATTTAAAATACATTAGTATGAATTTTCAAACTTCACATATATCCCAATTCTATACCCCAACAAAGATCCTAACTCCAAATTTTAGGATTACAGTTCTATCGGTTCACCCCAAATTTAGTACACATTAGTGTGAACTTCCAAGACTTCCTACACAGCCCAATCGTGCATCCAAAGAGTGATCCTCACTTCGTTCTTATCTGTTTACTATCGGTTCACCCAAAATTTAAATGGTACCAAATTTAGTACCCAAAACTACATCCATACCCCAATCCTAAACTACAACAGTGACACTATTTCCGAAATTCAGTTTTTCACATGCAACGAAATTGTACCAACATTTAGTACATTTTAGTACTTTTCGTATACTTATAGTTCGAAATTCCAAAAACCCTTTGGTATATCTATCCTACACTTTACCACTGACCCTCAATAAAATTTCAGAGTTCTAGCTCTACCGGCCAAATACAAATGATACCATATTTAGTACTTTTCGTTACGTTCTAGTGCGAATTCCCAAAAACCCAGGCTCATGTGTCACCTTGGGACAAAGAGTGACCCTACCCAAAATTTCAAGATTGTAGCTTCAGCCGTTTCGTCCGGGCGTTAATGAATCGTTAATCACTATACTCTTTATACCCTTCACCACACTGTGGTACAGGGTATTATGTCTTTGTGCATATGTTTGTAACAGGCAAAAGGAAACGAGATAGACACATGGTTCCTTTTGAGAATATGCATAGCAACACTTTTTAAGTCGATTTATACATGTCCGTCCATCCGTCCGTCTGTCTGTCCATGTTAAATTGTGAACAAAGTACAGGTCGCATTTATTATCCGAATTGGATGAAATGTGGCATACGTCACTTATTTGGCCCAAGGACGAACCCTATTGAAATTGGGAAAAATCGGTTCAGGTTTAGATATAGCTCCCATATATATTTTAGTCCGATTTAAGGTAAATGGTGTACCAAAGTCCCTAAATATCTTTCGATTTGCACGAAATTTGGCACAACGTATTGAATTAAGCCTAGAATGATGTGTGCTAAGTTTCGTGAAAATCGGTTCAGATTTAGATATAGCTCCCATATATATTTTCGTCCGATTTTAGGTAAATGGTGCACCAGAGTCCCTATATATCTTTCGATTTCCACGAAATTTGGTACAGCGTACTGAATTAAGCCTAGAATGGTGTGTGCTAAGTTCCGTGAAAATCGGTTCCGATTTAGATATATCTCCCATATATATTTTCTTCTTTCTTAAATGGTGCACCAGATTCCCTATATATCTTTCGTAATAAACTTAGTATAACCCAGGTGGGTCCGATTGGCACAGGTTATTCTAAGTTTTTCACCACTTATAAAAGTTATTATGAGATAACGTGTGGAACGTGTGGATAAGTTCAGATTTAGATATAGTTCCTATGTATAGTTTCGTCAGATTTTAAGTAATCGGTTCAAATTTGGATAGAGCTACCATATTTCCTCTCGATTTTAACTAAATGATGGACCAAGAACTCAAAATGTGGCCGATATTCTGTGACAAATTTCGATGAAATCGGCTTAGATTTCGATATAGCTTTTATAAATATTTTCGTCCGATTTGAAGTAAATGGTGCTCCTGTTTATCAGATATGTATCTAAATAATCAACGGGTATCCGACTGATATATGCTTTAAATTGATTTACATAATTTTGTCCCATTGCAAGAAGCAACTCTATATTTGACCAAAAGAAAAATTTAGTATAAGTTGCAGAAAGATATGTTTATGGGTCCAATTTCATTTTACTGATCCTTCAAAAATGCGACGTCTGTTAAGATTCATCTGTTGAATATATTCATCGTGGTGAAGGGTATCATATAGTCGGCCACGTCCGACTTTACTACTTTCCTTACTGGTTTATTATTATTTTTATGACCTAACGTAGATATATTGTAAGAAATAGCCGATGGATTTTCAGTCATTGTCTTCCTCTAAGAAAAACACAATCTTCGATTTATGACGAGACACATCTTATCCACTTCATCCTTAGCCATAACAGAGATGAAGTCATTACGGATAATTGACATCATCGATTAAATGATACTCGCACACAAATATTACACAAATCACTCATTCAATCCTTCATTCACTCATAGTTTCTTGTTGTTCTACTACTTCTTCGTTACACTTTACGTCCGATATCGTCCTGTCGAAAGTAATTAAATTGTTAGCTTACATTCTCATCGCGACGTGGTTTTTGTGCCAATGCTAAAAGCGGCATCAATATCAGTACGGGCAGGACAATTAAAAATCTTTTTTCCATTTCTGTTCGTTAGATGTCTTCTTGTTCGTTCAATGTTCGAAGTTGGAGTTCAAAAACACAGTTTGTTGCCGAACTGAGGAAAATTACGACTTTTAACGCGAGTTTCGTTTTTAGTTGTTGTTGTAGATGTTTCTGTTTTTATTTTTTTTCGGCCACAATACTGCGTGCCCGGCAAGAGAATGAATCGATGAATGCGACTTGATTTACATTTGTAATTGCTTTATTTGGAATTCCAAAGTGTATTTTATAGTTTCATTTCGAATTGCTGTTGCAGCAGCCTCTGTTGCTTTGGTTGTAGGCACCGAAATTGCTTATGCCACCGCAGCACTCCTCGACATCGGCATCAACGTCGCCATCAACGTGGCATACAAATTGTTACTTTAGAGTTTTGTTTGCACTGATACCGTAATTACAATTTTCCCCAACATTGTTCTTGAAAGCAGTAATAAATTCTGCTTACAAATCCGAACTCCGAAATAGCAACAATAAAAAAATTGTCACTTTGCTGTGTTGTATGTTTGATTGTTTATCTGTTTGTTTGTTAGTGTGTGTCTGTATTAATAGGCGTAGAAATGTCATGTCATGTCATACGATCAAAGTGGTACCCGTACTCGTTACGTTACACCTACAATTGATTTGCAATGTGATTGTTGGGGCGTTACCTTAACATTGTCATTCCGATTCTATTCATTATTCCAACCATCCATCAACATCAACAAGTGTTTTAATGATGAGTTGAGTATTGATTTAATTGAATACAATTTGTATTAGAATTGTTCGCTGGATTGAGGGATATTTTTTTATTATTTGATTTTTCTCAATGTCATATTGAAGATGCATATTTTATTGAATTACTTATTGCATTTTTTAGTGGACAATGATTGTTGATGAAATGGGAATAGGAATGGGTCGACTTTTTTGTATCCTCTAAAATTAGTTGGGAGTACATAATACCCAAATACCCGGGACTCTCGTAAAAAAATCATGTAAACATGAACCATATATTGTAAATTGTCGGACTGAGAGTTGTTATCCTTTGTCCTTGGTAAATTCTACTACGACATTCAACACGCCGTAAATGGAAAGTTGTCTTTTTATTTACTCCGATCATGAATATATAATTTGTGGGACATCCGACAAATATTATATTTTACATACATGTTAGGTTTATATCTACCTTAGAAATTCATATTCAAAATATTTTTGGAGGATTATTGAATCTTTTAGAGGAGTTGTTTTAAAAATATTCTGTTAATTTTTTTTCCCGAGCACATTCATGATTTTTATACCCTTCACCACACTGTGGTACAGGGTATTATGTCTTTATGCATATGTTTGTAACAGGCAAAAGGGAATCGAGATGGACCCATGGTTCCTTTTGAGAATATGCATAGAATCACTTTCTGAGTCGACTTACGCATGTCCGTCCGTCTGTCCGTCCATGTATTTTTGTTAACAAAGTACAGGCCGCATTTATGATTCGATTTATATGAAATTTGGCACAGTTCACTTATTTGGCCCAAGGACGAACCCTATTGAAATTAGAGAAAATCGGTTCAGATTTAGATATAGCTACCATATATAGTTTCGTCCGATTTTATGTAAATGGTGCACCAAAGTCCCTATATATCTTTCGATTTGCACGAAATTTGGCACAGCGTAATGAATAAGGTCACGAATGATGTGTGCAAAGTTTCGCGAAAATCGGTTCAGATTTAGATATAGCTCCCATATATATCTTCGTCCGTTTTAAGGTAAATGGTGCACCAAAGTCCCTATATATCTTTCGATTTGGATGAAATTTGGCACAACGTACTAAATTAAGTCTAGAATGATATGTGCAAAGTTTCGTGAAAATCGGTTCAGATTTCTCCCATATATAGCTTCGCCCGAGTTTAGGTAAATAGTCCACTAAAGTCTTTGGAAATCTTTTGATTTGCACGAATTTTGGCACAACGTAATGAATAAGGTCTAAAATGATGTTTGCCAAGTTTCGTGAAAATCGGTTCAGATTTAGATATAGCTCCCATATATATCTTCTTCCGATTTAAAGTTAATTATGTACCAAAGTCCCTACATATCTTTCGATTTGCACGAAATTTGGCACAGCATACTAAATTAAGTATGGAATGATATGTGCAAAGTTTCGTGAAAATCGGTTCAGATTTAGATATAGCTCCCATATATAGCTTCGCCCGATTTTAGGTAAATAGTCCACTAAAATCCCAGGAAATATTTTCATGCGCACGAAATTTGGCCCAGAGATATGAATAAGATCGAGAATGATGTCTGCCAAGTTTCGTGAAAATCGGTTCAGATTTAGATATAGCTCCCATATGTATTTTCATCCGATTTAAGGTAATTGGTGCACCAAAGACCCTATATATCTTTCGACTTGCACGAATTTTGGTATAGGGTGCTGAATTAAGTCTAGAATGATGTTGCTAAGCTTCGTGAAAAGATCCATAGCTAGGCCGATTGACACAACGTACTGATGTTGTATAAATTAGTCTATGGCAAGTTTCCCTGAAATCGGTTCAGATATAGATTTATAATAAAACGCGTCGTCTGTTAGGATACATATGTAAAATATACCCAAAATGGTGAAGGGTATCATATAGTCGGCCAAGTCCGACTTTATTACTTTCCTTACTGGTTTTATTATTTGATTTTTCTCAATGTCATAATGAAGATGCATATTTTATTGAATTACTTATTGCATTTTTTAGGGGACAATGATTCTTGATGAAATAGGAATAGTGCAAGTAAAAACGAAGTTAAGTTTGGTCGTCCCGAATTTTTTGTACCCTCCACAATGATGTACATAATACCTAAAATCAACCGGGTCTCTCATAAGAAAATTTTCGTATAGGGTGCTGAATTAAGTCTAGAATAATGTTGCCAGGCTTCGTGAAAAGATCCATAGCTAGGCCGATTGACACATATAAATTAGTCTCTGACAAGTTTCCCTGAAATCGGTTCAGATATAGATATATAACAAAAACCCGTCGTCTGTTAGGATACATATGTAAAATATACCCAAAATGGTGAAGGGTATCATATAGTCGGCCAAGTCCGACTTTATTACTTTCCTTACTGGTTTTATTATTTGATTTTTCTCAATGTCATAATGAAGATGCATATTTTATTGAATTACTTATTGCATTTTTTAGGGGACAATGATTCTTGATGAAATAGGAATAGTGCAAGTAAAAACGCAGTTAAGTTTGGTCGTCCCGAATTTTTTGTACCCTCCACAATGATGTACATAATACCTAAAATCAACCGGGTCTCTCATAAGAAATCCATGTAAATATGCATGTATATTGTGAATCCTCGGACTGAGACTTGTTATCCTCTGTCCTTGATAAATTCGACAACGACCTTCAATACACTGTAAATGGAAAGCGGTCTTTTTATTTACTCCGTTCATGAATATATAATGTATGGAACCTCCGACAAATATGATATTCTACATACATCTACCTAAGAAGCTTAGAAATTTGTATTTCAACTTGTATGGCTTTTTTAGAATTTATCGATTTATTTTGGGGTTATAAAGTGCGCTTTGATATATTGGGTTCTAATTGGCTACTAAATCCCTCCAATTAAATTTTTAAATATCGGTCAATTTTTTCTGGTAGCCTCCACACAATTTTCCCCCAATTTGGCACATTGCATTCTTATTCGGTACTAAATTTCTCCACTAAAAATTATAAATATAGGTCCACTTTTTCCGGCAGCCCTCACATACCAGCCCCCACAAATGTACAGTATTTTGAGGGTTTTGAGCGTGATTTTCAACCGAATTTTGTAGTCGTATTTGGTAACAAATCTCCCTTCCAAAAATTATTTATTATCGGCCCTTTTATATTTAAATAGTTAACGGATTTGTTCCACCTGTTGGGGTTGTCTTCATATAGTCGTATTCCATTATAGCATAGGGAATATTCTCGAAATTGTCAGTTTATACCCTACAAAGTATGGAATTCTAAAACGAGTTAGTCATCTCTTGTAATCATTCTTCCTTGGAAGGATATCGAATACAAAGCTAAATCGTCAGGTTCGAGAATGTCCTTTAAATTGCAGTACTTTGAGGATCTTATACACATTCTAGTATATGCCCGCAACTTCGTTTGCGAATGTTGGAATTATTAAAAAACCAATGCCGACCAATACCGTACTCCAACTCTACACACCAATTCTGAACGTAACAGATATCTAGCTCTATACAAAATTTGATATCATTTATTGCACTTTGTACTCTTGTAATACTTATTTCGAAAAAAAACACATTTCATATTTTTACCCAAATCCAAATTCGTTATCCAGCAGTCCAGCTCTATTGGTTCACTCTAAATCCAAATAGTTCCAAATTTAGTGTCATTTAGTACACATTTCCAAAACTCCATACATACCCCAATCCAACACCCCTACAGTGAACCTAATTCCAAATTTCAAGATTCCAGCTCTATCGGCTCATCTAAATCCAAATTTGGCACCTTTTAGTACTTCCTACATACTCCAACAATGATCCTAACTCCAAATTTCAGAATTCCAGCTCTATTATTTCACCCAAAATTCAAATTAGCACAATTTTGTACCCATACGTATGAATTTCCAAAACTACATCCATACCCCAATCCAACGCTCCAACAGTAACCCTATTTCCAAATTTCAGTGTTCCAGCTCTATCGTTTCATCTAAATCCACATTTGGTACCATTTTGTACACATCAGTACGAATTTCCAAAATTTTCTACAAACCCCAATCCTACACCCCAACAATGATAACAACTCCAAATTTCAGGATCCCAGCTCTGTCGGACAATCAGTCAATCACTTTACTCTGTTATTAGTATAGATTTTTACGATTTTTAAGAATAATTTTTAAGGGTTTTAGACATAATACCAAAAAATCAACACATATAGCTTCTTTGTGAAAATCCATCTACTAGAACGACGGAACCTAGCCTAACAAATGGACGAAATTTGGCTAAAAAATGTTATTGGAAATATAGCGGATTCATTTGA